GGACAGAGGCAATGGCACTGAGCACACAGGACACAGAGAAGGTACACAAAGTACACACAGGACACAGAGAAGGTGCACAAAGTACACACAGGATACAGAGAAGGTGCACAAAATACACACAGGATACAGAGAAGGTGCACAAAGCACTTCTGGCACAGGATCTCCATGGGAGATGGTTTTTTTCGTCGTAGACACAGACACTTGAGTGGTGGAGGAATCTCTACTACACATACAAAAGAAGTCATGTTATCATACTGCACATCGACGGTGGGCACGGGCGTTTACCCACGGAGCTGCGGTCAGATGAACCTGCCTTTTGGGCTTGTCCACCTGTCTTGACCTCAGTGTGTCCCCCCGTGAGCAACAGTACACACTTCTCTGTGTGTGGGGAGGTCAGCCTCCAGGCTGGAGCCTGGTTTTGGTCAGGAAAGAATGACAGAAATCATATTCTGTTTTGCTGGAGTCCAGACAGACGGATGGAGGAGGGCAGAGAAGAAATCTGCTGTACTCAACACTGCTGGGCACTTTCCTTGCCACAGAAAAAAGTTATTTCCCAATGAACTTATCAGAAGCTCACAAAATGTACCATCTATTGTTGAAAAGGAGATAGAATATTCCTAGGTAAAAGCATCTGACTACTGAGCAACTAAATCAGCGTCTGCGCATTGCTGACTGAGACAACACACCACTGTGAGGAGTATGGGACACGCTGGACGAACACACTGAAAAGTCAAAACTCATCAAACGCAAAACATGATCCTTCCGTTTGTCCACCTTCCTCACAGGAGGCAGACAGAGGCCTCTGTATCTGCCGGAGTCTAAGTCTATTTACAGGCTGTCATCTGGGAGGGAGATGGAGATTTCAGCTACTGGTCTATAAAGTGGCCTTGTTTGCTAAAATACCCCTCAAAATTGCTTTCTATTTCTTCCGAAAAGACCAATTACCCTTTCCCGGTACCTGCTCTGGCAACCCTGCACTCTGCAACGTTAAGGCTGGGAAGGTAGGGAAGGTCACCGCTCTAGGCTGGGGACACCCAGGGAACGGGTCTTTCCCTAGCTCCCTTCCCAAGCCAGCAGGTCTGGTGTGTGCCCCCCGGTGGTGCGGCGGCAGGGCGGCGGTCGCACCAGACTCTGCACTGTGCACCTTGTGTCCATGATCTTATTTCATCCACACCCCAATCCTGCAAGGCCAGCATCTGTTATCATCCCCATTTCACAGACTGAGACTCGAGGCGTGGCAGTGAAGCCTGAGCTCCCGCAGCCATCACGCAGCAGCAGGATCTGAACGGAGGCGTCTGAACTCTCTGCAATCAACCAACTCACTGAAAGTCTGGCTTACTCATCTTTAAAGTGAAAATACCCAGCTTGCTATGAGACTTGAACATCAGGTGCAGAAGCGAGTGCAAGGCTGGCAAAGCCACTTTTACCCACCAGCCCTGATTCACATCTGCACCCAGAAAGGGTTCTGCGGTTCTGCCCAGGAAGCTCCAGATGAGTTTCCAGGAGTCGGCGAGTGCAGGTAATTCTGCATCCGTTGTAAATATAATAGCACTGCTGACTGTTTCATACACAGGGTTCAAAACAACCCTGCTGCCATCTTACCCCAGCTCCAGGGACAGCCACGCTCGGACGACAGTAACAGGACCTGAGGCACGTGAAGCAGACTCACCCAGAAGCTAATAAATCACAGCACAGGACTCAGGAGACACCAACCTGTCCCAGCTCTTCGTTGAGGTCCGACGTGTTCACCAGAGGCCCCTCGCCAGTCTCCTCGTCAAACATGTCCTCATCCCAGGTGATGAAGTAAGAGCCGAGGAACTTCTGCATCTCGACCGTGACGTACATGGACACGGGGATGATGTAGTTAAAGAGGACCATGAAGGCCAGGAAGTCCGTGAATGCCCTGAGGAACTGCGAGAGCAGAAGGTGTGGGTCAGCGCCTCCGCCAGGAGGGACAGCAGGGCTCCAGCACGCTGCTCTAACACCTCAGGCTTAGACATAAGTTATACGAGTGCTACTACTAAATACAAGGTTTCAGAGTCCAAAGACAAGGACGATGGGTGGGGGACAGCCACTGGGTCACCTGGTCTCTGCATCAGGACCCGCCGGGTCCAGGGGCTGAGCTGCAGGGCTGCCCTGCCAGCAAGTGGAGATTAAATCATGAGTTAGGACAAATACGCGCCGGTGACAGGAGATATGCCCACCAGACACCTGCGGCAATTTTACTTTCGCATATTCACAGGATCTCTTTGAGTCTCTTACAACCAAACTTACTTGGTAATAACCTACAGATGTAAAAACTAAGCCTGGTGAAATGACTTTTCAGTATACTTTTATCCTGATCTGTGGGGCCATGTTAGTTTTGTGGGAGGGACAGACGATGCAGAGACAGCCCCACTCTGGACGGAGGGGACACGGGTCTGGGTTTGCACACGGCCCTGCTCTAGGCTCAGTGGACAGGGTCTGGGTTTGCACACGGCCCCGCTCTAGGCTCAGTGGACAGGGTCTGGGTTTGCACACGGCCCCGCTCTAGGC